CTACTTGGGAGGCTGAGGCAGGGGAATCGCTTGAACCCTGGAGGCAAAGTTTGCAGTGAGCCGAGATCACACCACTGCACTCCAGCCTGGGCGACAGAGTGAGACTCTTTCAAAAAAAAATAAATAAAATAAATGAATAAAACCAAAAATAAATAAAAATGAATATGTAAAATGAAATAAATTTTATTTTATCTTATTTATTTGTTTTTTTTTTTATTTATTTTTTTGAGATAGAGTCTCACTTTGTTGCCCAGACTGGAATGCAGTGGCCTGATCTCGGCTCACTGCAAGCTCCGCCTCCGGGGTTCATGCCATTCTCCTGCCTCAGCCTCCCGAGTAACTGGGACTACAGGCGCCTGCCACCATGCCCGGCTAATTTTTTGTATTTTTGGTAGAGGCAGGGTTTTACCATGTTAGCCAGGATGGTCTGGATCTCCTGACGTCGTGATGCACCTGCCTCAGCCTCCCAAAGTTCTGGGATTATAGGCGTGAGCCACCACGCCTGGCCTTTATTTTTTATTTTTATTTGTTTTTTTTTGAGACAGTCTCACTTTGTTGCCCAGGCTGGAGTGCCATGGTGCAATCTCGGCTCACTGCAACCTCCACCCCTGGGATTCATGCCATTCTCCTGCCTCAGCCTCCTGAGTCGCTGGGATTACAGGTTCGTGCCACCACACCTGGCTAATTTTTGTATTTTTGGTAGAGATGGGATGTCACCATGTTGTTTCAGGCTGGTCTCAAACTTTTGACCTCGTGATCCACCTGCCTCGGCCTCCTAAAGTGCTGGGATTGCAGGAGTGAGTGACCGCGCCCAGCTGAAATAAATTTTAAAAAGTGAAAATATTATGTCACTCCTCTGCTTCAAGCTCTTCAGAGGCTTCCTGTAGGTCTTCATGTAAAGCCAAACTTTTTACCATGGCATACAAGCTGTATCTGGGTGGCTCTTGTCTACTGCTGTAGCCTCATCTGGTGCCCCTTCACCTCTTGCTGGCTACATCCTGGCTGTGCTTGTCATCTCTGGATTCCTTTGACATACCCTACTTCTTTCTTCCTGAAGGCCTTTAGCTGTCTTGTTCCCTCTTCCTTGATAGTCAGTTCCTCCTCTTTCTCCTTTTCTTCCTCCTCTTCCTCTTCTTTCTCCTCATCGTCACTCTTGTCATTCAGGGATGCTGCTGTATCTCTTATGTCAAGGCCTGTGCCTTGCATGTGGTAGGTACTTGTGGAATGGATGAATGCTGCATATTGGAACTTAAGTTCACTGGGCACGGTGGCTCACACCTGTAATCCCAGTACTGTGGGAGGCCAAGGCGGGTGGATCACTTGAGGTCAAGAGTTCAAGACCAGGCCGGGCGCGGTGGCTCACGCCTGTAATCCCAGCACTTTGGGAGGCCGAGGCGGGCGGATCACAAGGTCAGGAGATCGAGACCATGGTGAAACCCCGTCTCTACTAAAAATACAAAAAATGAGCTGGGCGCGGTGGCGGGCGCCTGTAGTTCCAGCTATTCGGGAGGCTGAGGCAGGAGAATGGCGTGAACCCAGGAGGCGGAGCTTGCAGTGAGCCAGGATCGCGCCACTGCACTCCAGCTTGGGCGACAGAGCGAGACTCCGTCTCAAAAAAAAAAAAAAAAACAAAAACAAAGAGTTCAAGACCAGCCTGGCCAACATGGTGAAACCCCGTCTCTACTAAAAATACAAAAATTAGCCAGGCGCAATGATGCACGTGTGTAATACCAGCTACTCAGGAGGCTGAGGCACGAGAATCGCTTGATCCTGGGAGGTGGAGGCTGCAGTGAGCCCCTGCACTCCAGCCTGGGCAACAAAATGGAACTGTCTGGAAAAAAAAAAAAAAAAAGAACTTAAGTTCACGTCCAGCCCCTTATAAGTTACATTGCCATGGCAAGTTATTTGATCTCTCTAGGCTTCAGTTTCCTCATCTGTGAAATGGTATCACAAGGCCTCTTGCAGAATTCTCATTGTGATTTTCAATGAAGTATCTAAAGTGTATTACCAAGTGCTTAGAAGGTTTTCAACAAGGATAATTTCTGTGCTTTTATCATTGTGGCTCTATTTTATCATTGTGGGAGTATGTGGACTTCTCACTTTTCTCCTGTTTCTTGCTCTCTTTGCTTAGGGCAGCATCTCATCACGGCAGTTGCTGACCATCTATTTAAGCTGAAGACAACATCATGGTGAGTGGCAGGCGTAAGACTAACTGTAGGCAGGCCCATCCCAGCACTGGGAGGGAGGCGGAGGTGGGAGAATTGCTTGAGCCAGGGAGATTAAGGCTGTGGTGAGCTGTGATTGCCACTAAATGGCAGCATGGGTGACAGAGCAAGCCTGTCTCAAAAAAAAAAAAAAAGTGGTGAGAGGGTATGCTTGTTCCAGTTTTTAGAGAAAAAGCTTTCAGCTTTTCTTGTTCGGTAAGATGTGTTATCTGTGGCCACTCTACTTCTGATAGGGAGTTAGGGAGATTTCGGAGTGCGATTGAGCTGGACACCCCCTCTATGACTACAGAGCAAGTAGCTGCCATTGAGCAGAGCGTCAATGAAAAAATCAGAGATCGGCTGCCTGTGAATGTCCGAGAATTGAGCCTGGATGATCCTGAGGTGGAGCAGGTAAGGGTAGAGCCAGAGGGGTGGCTTCTGCACAATGGTTCTCCAAGCGTTCCTCATCAGATTCAGACAGTCCCTCCGCTCTCCTTGAGTCCAGGTGAGAGGCCGGGGTTTGCCGGATGATCATGCCGGGCCCGTTCGTGTTGTTAGCATTAAGGGCGTTGATTCCAACATGTGCTGTGGGACCCATGTGAGCAATCTCAGTGACCTTCAGGTAAGTGAGGAAGGGCTGTGGAGTGGCTGAGAAGAGGGACTGGGGAGAGGGGATCACATGGGGCTGGGAGTGGGAGAGGGGGATAATTGAGGAGTCCTAAGTGAAATCTCCCCTTCACTGTTTCAGAGCTGAGGAAAAGATAGGTTTCTCCTGCCTTCAGGTTCTAGGATCTGCTGTGGTTTACGCACACGCCCGTGTGTGTGTGTGTGTTACCCCCTTGCCTCATGTAGGTCATTAAGATTCTGGGCACTGAGAAGGGGAAAAAGAACAAAACCAACCTGATATTTCTGGCTGGGAACCGGGTGCTGAAGTGGATGGAGAGAAGTCATGGAACTGAAAAAGCACTGACTGCTCTGCTTAAGTATGCATCTTTCAGTACCTTCAGTTGCCTCCCATTGCTGAGATTTTGGACATAATCTCTTACCTCTGGGAGATAAGATGCAATCGTAAATGATAAAGTGCTTTGGATAGTCAATCAGAACCACGAAAAACAGTTAATTCCTTCGTATATTTTCTCCCAGTTGCCTAAGAGACCTCCTCAGAATATCTCCTGGTCCCTGACTGCAGGGAGGCACCATAGCAAGAAGGAAGTTACTGATTTATGTCCCCAACATCAGAAACAACTGGGAAGCTGCGCAGGTTTCCACTGACCTTTCTCTTGCAGGTGTGGAGCAGAGGATCATGTGGAAGCAGTGAAAAAGCTCCAGAACTCCACCAAGATCCTGCAGAAGGTGATGTATTCCCTGGCGGGTAGAGAGGGCATGGGCCCTGCCTAGAATAGGCTCTGCAGACTTGGTCTTCTGCCGAAGCAAATGTGTAGTTTGTCAAAGTAGGAGTGAGGGGAGAATGAGGTGGAGGGAAGCTGATACTCTCTATTGTTATCCTTTCCATTTATCTACTGAGTTACCATATCCATTTCAGAATAACCTGAATCTGCTCAGAGACCTGGCTGTGCACATTGCCCATAGCCTCAGGAACAGCCCAGACTGGGGAGGTGTGGTCATGTTACACAGGTGAGAAATTAGGAGCTGGAGACAAGGAATGGGGGCTATGCTGGGCTTAGGGCTCAGTGTCTTCTCTATATGCAGTGTACAGTGGGAGGTGAATTGCTCACTGGTATTCTCAAGGTTGGGTAGATCCTGAGAAATATGTTACTGGCTGGGCGTGGTGGCTCATGCCTGTAATCCCAGCACTTGGGAGGCTGAGGCAGGTGGATTACAAGGTCAGGAGTTTGAAACCAGCCTGGCCAGCATGGTGAAACCCCTTCTCTACTAAAAGTACAAAAATTAGCCAGGCATGGTGGTACACGCCTGTAGTCCCAGCTACTTGGGAGGCTGAGGCAGGAGAATCACTTGAACCCGGGAGGCAGAGGTTGTGGTGAGCGGAGATCACGCCACAGTACTCCGGCCTGGACCGACAGAGTGAGACTCCATCTCAAAAAAATTAAAGAAATACGTTACCTACCAGGCCTCCTGGGTTTGATGTTAACATCTTTGCTGTAACTCTGTATCTTTTTTTTTTTTTAATTTTTTTTTTTTGAGACGGAGTCTCGCTCTGTCGCCCAGGCTGGAGTGCAGTGGCCGGATCTCAGCTCACTGCAAGCTCCGCCTCCCAGGTTCACGCCATTCTCCTGCCTCAGCCTCCCGAGTAGCTGGGACTACAGGCACCCACCACCTCGCCTGGCTAGTTTTTTTGTATTTTTTAGTAGAGACAGGGTTTCACCATGCTAGGCAGGATGGTCTCGATCTCCTGACCTCGTGATCCGCCTGCCTCGGCCTCCCGAAGTGCTGGGATTACAGGCTTGAGCCACTGCGCCCGGCCTGTTTTTTTGTTTTGTTTTGTTTTGTTTTTTGAGATGGAGTCTTACTGTGTCTGGAGTGCAGTGGCATGATCTCGGCTCACTGTACCCTGTGCCTCCCGGGTTCAAGCAGTTCTCGTGCTTCAGCCTTCTGAGTAGCTGGGATCACAGGCATGTGCCACCACACCAGGCTAACTTTTGTATTTTTAGTAGAGATGGGGTTTCCCCATGTTGGCCAGGTTGGTTCTGAACTCCTGACCTCAAGTGATCTGCCCACCTCGGCCTCCCAAAGTGCTGGCATTATAGGTGTAAGCCATTGCGTCCAGCCTGTATCTTTCTTTAGGACTGTCCCCTACTTACTTTACTCTCTAACAGATTTCTGCTTATCCTAGTGAATCCTATTTAAGGGAGATAGAGACAAACCTGGAGGTTGAATCCAAACTGCAGAGGCTGAGAAGGGCAGCTTGCTGGCTCTCAGCCAGTACTGTCTCTTGGCTAAGGGATGTGGGACTTTATGTGTACAAATAGGCAGCAGCAAGGCCAGCTTCAGAAGGAGGGGCCAGGCTTCCTGCAGTTTCACAGCCACCACTCCAACCTGGGTCTCATGTCTGTGTCCTTTGTTTTAGGAAGGAGGGTGATTCAGAGTTCATGAATATCATTGCCAATGAGATTGGGTCAGAGGTAAGAGGAGCATGAGATTCTCTACCCTGGCCTGGATAGAGACCTAGGGAGACATAAGTGAGGGGCGCTAGTTTAGCTGAAGTCCCTCCACATGAATACATGAGGAGTAGGAAATAGCCATTCATTCAATACTGTTTTCTTAGCACTAGCTATGTGCCAAGCTCTGTTTTAGGTGTTGACCTAGATCTATGTTATTGCTCTTTCTGGGGCTGTATGTTTATCAGCTTCTGAGCTCCTTTCATCAGAGTTCTAGCTCCTCAGAGCCATTCAGGTTTATGTGTCCTGAGGATCCAATATTAGAAATACAGGAGTGGACTGGTCATGGTGACTCATGCATGTAATCCCAGCACTTTGGGAGGTCAAGGTGGGTGGATCACTTGAGGCCAGGAGACCAGCCTAGCCAATATGGTGAAACCCCATCTCTACTAAAAATATAAAAATCAGGCCAGGCATAGTGGTTCACGCCTGTAATCCCAGCACTTTGGGAGGCCAAAGCGGGTGGATTGCCTGAGCTCAGGAGTTTGAGGCCACCCTGGGCAACATGGTGAAACCCTATTTCTACTAAAATATAAAAATTTAGCCAGGCGTGGTGGCGTGCGCCTGTAAGCCCAGCTACTCAGGAGGCTGAGGTACGAGAATCTCTTGAGCCCGGTCGGTGGAGGTTGCAGTGAGCTGAGATTGTGCCACAGCACTCTAGCTTGGGCTACAGAGTGAGATTCTGTCTCAAAACAAAACAAAAATTTGCTGGGTGTGGTGGTGGGTGCCTGTAGACCCAGCTACTTGGGAGGTTGGGGCAGGAGAATTGCTTGAACCTGGGAGGCTGAGGTTGCAGTGAGTTGAGATTGCGCCACTGCACTCCAGCCTGGGCAACACAGAATGTCTCAAAAAAAAAAAAAAAAAAAAAAAAGTGAATACAGGAGTGGGCAAGCCCCTTTGAAAGCCATCCCCATCCATTTTCCTCTTCCTCTGGCTTTACTTATTCTTCCCACTCCTGATGGTCTCTAGCCTAGAGATTTCCAGGTCTGTCTTTTTATTCGTTTGTTTGTTTGTTTCAGAGACAGAGTCTTGCTCTGTCACCCAGGCTGGAGTGCAGTGGTGTGATTATGGCTCACTGCAGCCTTGAACTCCTGGGCTCAAGCAATCCTCCCACTTTAGCCTCGTGAGTAGTTGGGACTGCAAGCATGAGTCACCATGCTCCACTCTCTCTTTTGTATTTACTCCAAAACCCTTCTTTGGAATGCCTACTGTGGGTAAAGCATTGTGTATCTCTCTTTTCATAATTCTTCTGTATAGACAGAACTGATTCTCAAGGAGCTCACGTTCTAGTCTGGAGGACAAATGTGTGTGTTGACATTTATAATTTAGAACGATAGAGTGATGAATGCTAGAGGTGAAGGAGTATATTACCTGAAGGATAGGGAGGTTTCAGGGAAGGGGGCCTTGAAGACTGCTTAGAGGTCATCAGACAGACAAGGGGCAGAGGCAGCCAGGCAGAGGGAAACCTGGTGGTTTAGGCAGCGGCAGGGAAAGGACGTATGGTAGGGAAAAGTTTGCGAGAGTGAAACCATGAAAGGCATTTTATGCTTAACCAGGAACAGCAGTCTTCTGCTGCCTTCTTAATGTTTCACCTAAGTTCCCGTAGTTGCTCTCAAAAAGTTTCTTGGCCCTGGTGGGCCAGTGTGGAGGGGGATTATCATTCATCAGGAGCGTCACTTGGTGGTTTAGGGGGAAATAATCTGTTCTTAAGATTGAAGAGGGTGCAGGGTTTAGGGGGGTTAACTCTACATCCTTAAGTATCAGGGCTTATCTCCTTGTCTTACCTCCTAGGAGACCCTCCTATTCTTAACCGTGGGCGATGAGAAAGGTGCTGGACTCTTCTTACTGGCAGGGCCACCTGCGTCTGTGGAGACCCTGGGGCCCAGGTAATCCTAGGTGGACTCTCTTGCACATGTAGTAGAGCCTGTATCCTACAGATACATTCCTTTACTGACTCAAAGGACCATCACATCTGCGATCTCATTTAATTACATCATGGGCATGTGAGGTGGGCTGAGCAGAGATAATTGTTACTACCGTCATTTCCAGTTTGACAGATGAGGGTCTTTTAGCTCCACATCTCACATGTATGTTTTTGTTTTTGTTTTTATGAAATGTGTTTGTTTTTGTTTTTTGAGATGGAGTCTCACTCTGTCACCCAGGCTGGAGTGCAGTGGCACGATCTCAGCTCACTGCAGCTACCACCTCCTGGGTTTAGGCAATTCTCCTGCCTCAGCCACTCAAGTAACTGGGATTACAGGTGCACACCACCACACCTGGCCAATTTTTTTGTATTTTTAGTACAGATAGAATTTTACCATGTTGGCCAGTCTGGTCTCGAGCTCCTGACCTCAAGTGATCCTCCCGCCTGGGCCTTCCAAAGTGCTGGGATTACAGGTGCTCACCCTGCTCCCTAGAGATTAACATAATTTATCTAGCCCAATTCATAGACACTGATGTTGTTTTTAGTTATTCAGTCTTATGTGATCATGGTACATATATCTTTGTGCACATGTGCAAGTGTTTTTTTGAGACGAAGTTTCACTCTTGTTGCCCAGGCTGGAGTGCAATGGCACGATCTTGGCTCACTGCAACCTCTGCCTCCCAAGTTTAAGCAATTCTCCTGTCTCAGCTTCCCGAGTAGTTGGGATTACGGCGCATACCACCACACCCGGCTAATTTTTGTATTTTTGGTAAAGACGGGGTTTCATCCTATTGGTCAGGCTGGTCTTGAAGTCCTGACCTCAGGTAGTCCACCCACCTTGGCCTCCCAAAGTGCTGGGATTACAGGTGTGAGCCACCGCCCCCAGCCTATGTGCAAGTGGTTTTGTTTTTTTTTTTTTGAGACGGAGTCTCGCTCTGTCGCCCAGGCTGGAGTGCAGTGGCCGGATCTCAGCTCACTGCAAGCTCCGCCTCCCGGGTTCACGCCATTCTCCTGCCTCAGTCTCCCGAGTAGCTGGGACTACAGGCGCCCACCACCTCGCCCGGCTAGTTTTTTGTATTTTTTTAGTAGAGACGGGGTTTCACCGGATTAGCCAGGATGGTCTCAATCTCCTGACCTTGTGATCCGCCCATCTCAGCCTCCCAAAGTGCTGGGATTACAGGATTGAGCCACCGCGCCCGGCCACGTGCAAGTGTTTTTAAGAAACATTCCTAGAAGTCATCTGCTCTTCTTATCCCTCCCCCAGTCCCTGGAAAAAGACTCAGAGCTGCCCTTTTTTGTGTGTGTGACTTTTCCCTCAAAGTCTCCCTGACTATACCTCTGTTCCCCAGGGTGGCTGAGGTCCTGGAAGGCAAAGGAGCAGGGAAGAAAGGCCGTTTTCAGGGCAAGGCCACCAAGATGAGCCGGCGGACAGAAGTGCAGGCACTTCTCCAGGACTACATCACCACGCAGAGTACTAAGGAGTGAGGGCTTAGGGTACTCACCTCCTGTTTCCACAGGCATCTTTTGGTCAATAAAATAGTTTGACTCAGAATGGTTGTGATACCACTTGTATTTATGACTAATTCATACCGTATACTCCAGTGTGCTTTCCTGGTTACTTTCTGTTTGTAAATAGATAATTTTCTAATTTAGTTCCTGCACTGTAATGTCTGGAAGGTGGTGGAATAATTTATACCAAACCTTGTGCTTTTGCACTCAGTCAGATAAGAACATCTGATCAGCTGAATCCACTGCTCCCGTATTTTTGTTATAATCCACAAAGATACATGGCTTTTTCCCACCCCCACCGCCCCGCCCCGCCCCCTGAGAAGGACTCTTGCTCTGTTGCCCAAGCTGGATATAGTGGTGTGATCTCAGCTCACTGCAACCTTCGCCTCCCGGGTTCAAGGGATTCTCCTGCCTCAGCCTCCAGAGTAGCCAGGATTACAGGTATGTGCCATCATGCCTGGCTAATTTTTTTTTGTTTCGTTTTTGTTTTTGTTTTTGTTTGAGATGGAATCTTGCTCTGTCACCAGTCTGGAGTGTGGTGGCGTGATCTCGGCTTACTGCAACCTCCACCTCCCGGGTTCGAGCGATTCTCCTGCCTCAGCCTCTCGAGTAGCTGGGGCTACAGGCTCGCACCACCATGCCCAACTAATTTTTGTATTTTTAGTAGAGATGGGGTTTCACTGTGTTGGCCAGGATGGTCTCCACCTCTTGACCTCGTGATCCGCCCACTTCGGCCTCCCAAAGTGCTGGGATTACAGGCATGAGCCACCGCGCCCGGCTGGCTTCTTAGTTTTCTTTCCATTTCTGTTGTCTCCTTCAATCACAGTATCATTGTGGAATGTTGACAGCATTGTCACCTTCTTGGGGTCAGTGCTACAGCTGCAAGTGACACTGGCGAATATTCTCAGGGCAAACAGGAAAAGGGTTAAAGTAAGAGATTAAGAGGGACGTGTAATGATGAAAAATATAACAGTTCTAAATTTGTATGCATCTAATAACAGTCTCAAAATACATAAAGCAGACATTGACAGATCTCAAAGAAATAGACAAATCTGTAATCAATGGAAGACTTAAGCTCATCTTTCATCAGCAGTAGAGCAAATGGAAACATAATATGTTTAGGAGCACAGGCTTTGAAGTTTCACAGACCTGGGTAGAAATACTGGATTTGCACATCTAGGAAAGGTGATAAAACAAAGATCCAGTTATAACTTTAGCTAGAACAAAGATGGTTAAGGCCTAGACAGTCAGGATGAAATAACAGAGGAGAAATACAAAAACTGACACCCAGGGGAGATAAGCTGTGGCTCTGGCTGTGTTCAGCTATTTATTCTTCCAACTCTGAAAGGAACTTTTTTTTTTTTTTGAGACAGTCTTGTTCTGTCACCCAGGCTGGAGTGCAGTGGCATGATTTTGGCTCACTGCAACCTCTGCTTCTTGGGTTCAAGCAATTCTTGTGCCTCAGCCACCCAAGTAGTTGGGATTACAGGTGTGTACCACCAAAAGTTTCCTTCAATCCTGCCATTGAGTTACCCAATTTCTTTCTCCAGTTTTTTTTTCTTAATTTTTTTTTTTTTTTAAGACAGAGTTTCGCTCTTGTTGCCCAGGCTGGAGTGCAATGGCGTGGTCTTGACTCACCACAACCTCCACCTCCCGAGTTCAAGTGATTCTCCTGCCTCAGCCTCCTGAGTAGCTGGGATTACAGGCATGCGCCACCATGCCCAGCTAATTTTGTATTTTTAGTAGAGGTGGGGTTTCACCATGTTGGCCAGGCTGGTCTCAAACTCCTGACCTCAGGTGATCCGCCAGCCTCAGCCTCCCAAAGTGCTGTGATTACAGGCATGAGCCACAGTGCCTGGCCTTTTTTTTTTTTTTTGAAGCATAGTCTCACTCTTGCCCAGGCCGGAGTGCAGTGGCACAATCATGGCTCACTGCAGTCTCAACTTCCCCGGGAACAGGTGATCCTCCCATCTCAGCTCTCTGAGTAGCTGGGACTAGAGTTGCACACCACCACACCTGGCTAATTTTTTGTATTTTTTTCTAGAGACAGTGCTTTGCCATGTTGCCCACACTAGTCTTGAACTCCTGGGTTCTAGCAATTTGTCCACCTTGGCCTCCCACTGTTGGGATTACAGGCGTGAGCCACCATGCCCAGCCTGTTATCAATTTCTCATATATCCCTCTGGTAGTATTTTAAAAAATAAATGTATATAAATCTTCCCTCTTTTGAAACATAAATGGTAGCACACTGTGTACTCTTCTGCATCATGCTTTTCTCAGAGTGCCATGTTTTAGATAAAACTATAGTGTAAGACTCATGCTATACAAAATGGGTCCATTAGTGGGAGAAAGGGAAATATTTGCTTCACAGATGCTTCCTTACTTTTGTAGGACTCAGGCAGGATTCTCTTGAACAGAGACCCATGTGAATTTGTCTCTGTGTGTGAGATCTCTGTCCCTTTCTGTGTCTGTTTCTTTAGGGTGTGCCTTAGTCTGATCTGACTGCTATAATAAAATAACAAAATCTAGGTAGCTTGTAAACAACAAAAATGTATTTCTCACAGTTGTGGAGGCTGGGAAGCTGGCAAATTCGGTGTCTGGTGTGAAGGTTCAAATACTGGTTCAGGGATAACCATCTTTTTGCTGTGTCCTCACATGGTACAAAGGGTAAGGGGTCTGTCTTGGACCTTTTTTTTTTTTTTTTTTTTTGAGATAGAGATGGAGTTTTACTCTTGTTGCTCAGGCTGGAGTGCAATGGCACGATCTCGGCTCACTGCAACCTCTGCCTCCCAGGTTCAAGTGATTCTCCTGCCCCAGCCTCCCGAGTAGCTGGGATTATGGGTGCCTGCCACCCCACCCAGCTAATTTTTTGTATTTTTAGTAGAGATGGGGTTTCACCATGTTGGCCAGGCTGGTCTCGAACTCCTGACCTCAGGTGATCCGCCCGCCTCAGCCTCCCAAAGTGCTGGGATTACAGGCATGAGCCACTGCGCCCAGCCCTCTTGGGCCTCTTTTATAATGCACTAATTTCATTCATGAAGGCTCTGTTCCTGTGACCTAATCACCTCCCAAAGGGCCCACCTCCTAATGTCACTTAGGGGGTTAGGATTTCAACATGAATTTTTAGGCGTACACAAACATTCAGAACACAGCAGGTGCAACAAAAAGAACAGTGACCTGGGAGGCCACTCTTACTCACCACAACTCAGGTGGGTTCTAGTCACTTAGACCTAGAACGATCATATAATTTTAATATCCAAAGTTAGGCAAACCTCATGCCAGAACAATAGTCATAAACTCAGACTGCGTTAAGGTAGTCTGGATGTCTGGTCTCCCTGCTGAGACTCCCTGAGCTTCAGTTTCTTGACCTGAAAATGGGGACATGAACTGGGTGTCCTAAGAAGGAAGAAACCTTGTGAAATAAGAAGAGGCATAAACACTTGAGCAAATTATGTGAAAATGGTAATTGGTTGTATAAAGAAAATAAAGCAGCAGTTTTTGAACTGGTGATGTCATTCTTTCCTGTCACTGGGGCCCTAATCCAATGCCCCAGGGAGAAGGGGAGAAGAACAGAGTGTGTTCAGGGGAAGGGGTGGATTGTCTTTTATGAGGTTCACCAGGAAATAAAATGAGTTCATTTATTGGAGTAATCGAGTTTTAGGCACACACACAGAGATTATATATTCTGGAATATTGCTATAACCCATTTTATGGCACAGAAATAGTAAGGGGGACTCCTGGGCTTCTAAGGAAATTTTTTTTTTAAGCACATACCCATAAATTGCTGAAGACAGCTGCTGTAGCTTCCACCAGTGTGACACATGTAGGTACCGGAACAGATGTTAGTATGAAAGATGAAAGGTATCAGGTGAAAGAAACCCAGAGCAGTAGACAGACTGAATTCAGGGCCAGGCACAGTGGCTCACGCCTGTAATCCCAGCATTTTGGGAGGCTGAGTCCGGTGGATCACCTGAAGTTGGGAGTTCGAGACCAGCCTGACCAACATGGAGAAACTCGCCTCTATTAAAAATATAAAAGGGGGCCGGGCGCGGTGGCTCAAGCCTGTAATCCCAGCACTTTGGGAGGCCGAGACGGGCGGATCACGAGGTCAGGAGATCAAGACCATCCGGGCTAACATGGTGAAACCCGTCTCTACAAAAAAAATAAAAAAAATTAGCCGGGCGTGGTGGTGGGCGCCTGTAGTCCCAGCTACTCGGGAGGCTGAGCAGGAGAATGGTGTAAACCCGGGAGGCGGAGCTTGCAGTGAGCTGAGATCCGGCCACTGTACTCCAGCCTGGGTGACAGAGTGAGACTCCGTCTCAAAAAAAAAAAAAAAAAAAAAATATATATATATAATATATATATAAAAGGGGAAATCCCAGCTACTCTGGAGGCTGAGGCAGGAAAATTGCTTGAACCCGGAGGCAGAGGTTGCAGTGAGAGCCAAGATCACACCATTGCACTCCATCCAGCCTAGGCAACAAGAGCGAAGCTCCGTCTCAAAAAAAAAAAAAGCCAAAACCCAACAACAAAACAACAAAACACAGACTGAATTCAGGAAGGCATTGTGCCAGTGTCCCGTGCTCCACCCTGCCTTGGAGTCCTGAGTGGAAACCAGTGAGTCGGCCAAGCTATGCTAGAACGCCAGGTCTTTCCCTAAATGAGAACTTAAATAAACTCCAGGGCCCCACCTGGTACCAACGGGAAAACAGACAGTGTTTGCCCTGATGAAAAAAATTCTTTTTCAGAAAGCGTCTGTGTCTCCCATTCCTTTCCTGAATTTGATCCAAACTATGACTAAAGTGTTCTCAACAGAGGGCAAGCAGGGATGTTTGGGAACGAGTGATGGAGGAATTTCCTTCTTTCTCTAGAAAGGTCTGTATCTTCTGTGCAAAATACTACAGGCAGAGTGCCAGGCTCCAAACTAAGGAACAAGCAGGACTTAGTTAACTGACCTGGAGTTGTGTCTGGAGCAGAAGAGGCTCTCACAGGGACAGCTTTCTCTCTCGCTGAGCGATAAACTCCCTGCAGAAGTGACCTGTG